GATATTTATGCGTTTCCGCTTTCTTGCAGACCCTAAAGCATGTGTCTTCTGGGACCTGGAGGATTTCCCTTTCCCTAGTGGTCAAGATCAGGATATGAGAAATTCTCTTGTGGCGTTTAATTTTCGTAATGATGTTTCAATCACGGCTTATGTTGATGAGGAAAAAGTCGCAGATGGCTTGGTTGATGTTTATCAGAATTTCGGAATCACCATCCTTCCTGTACAAGGTGAAGTTTTTTTGTTTACTTTCTTTGTATACATACATGTCTAATACTCTAGTTCTATTATATGTCCCCTATTGTGTACATGTCTGATACTCTTGATATATACTCGCAGGGGGTAAATATGCAAGAGTTCATAATATTCTGATAGACATTGTTTTGTGGGCAATGGCTAATCCTGCTACCTACTTTAAACCATTGGATTTGGTGGTAATCTCAGCAAACATCAAAGAAGATTCCGACTTCCTCCGCGCCCTTGAAGCTTTGGGTGACAGATACTACAATATCATCTTAGCTTTGCCTCATGAGCTCCCATCAACCAATCTGCCTATTGTAAACTCGGAACGTTTCCTACTGGGGATCCCTGATCGAGGAACCTTCCAAAGGCCTCTACACGAGGAGAAGAGCATAGAGGAGACTGGTCCTTTTCCGAAAGGAATTCCTCGTTTGGATCCTGAGGATATTTACTGTAAGATTTTATCTCTCTCGTCTGTCCATATATAGATTGATTAACTTTTCATAGTATAATTTTGTGTATTCATAATCTAATTTGTTTATTCTCTCTTCTTGTCAGGGGCAAGGTCTGAAATACTCGTCTTCTGGAATGTCGAGGACCCAATCAGTAGTACTATTTGTGATCTTTCTATGGATATCGATTGTGGCTTGCGCACCAAGGGTTATCGTGGTAGTGTGTCATTAATGGCTTATACTGACAATAAAGAGTTTACAATCCGTCACCAGCCTTATCGCTTGAAAAAATTAACCGTCCTAACCAAAGGTGATGAATACTCCAAACTCTTTTCTTTTTTTTACTTGCATTTATGGATGTAGCGTCAATCCCTCTTGTTTTATATCTTCCAGGAGATGATGGATATGCCAAAGCTACTAGGATGTTCTTGGACATGCTTTTCCTTGTAATGAACAAGGATGAGCCTACTCATTTTATTATGATTTCCAGAACACCTAAATACATGTCTAAGTGGGCCAATGTCAATCAAGCGTTGGAAGCCAGAGGTTCCGATGTGATCCTTGGACCCTCTGATGCGATCCAATTACCACTCTCCGTTGACGGCTTCATACGTCTTTGCAAAGACGGACCACGTTATTCTCCAAGGGTTAAAGAAGCCCTTGAACTGCAAGAATTTTCATGTAACATCCATCTCTTTCTCGATTTTTTTTTGTCTCACTTCCCTCTATATGGGCTGATGGATCTAATATTTTGTGTTCATGATATATTGAAACCTCTTAGCGAAAGAACTATGCATCTTCTGGGTCATCGAGAAGTTTCCATCCTATCCGATGTCGATAAATTTTATTTTTCAAAGTATGGAAGTAACCCTTGTGAAGAAGGGTTATCATAGTCGTCATGTGTCAATGATTGCTTATGTTAATGATGAAAAACTGACGAAAGTCGATACGGTAGCCGGAATGACAATCACCCTTCTACCTGAAGGTGAGCTGCTACTTTTCTTTTCTCTGTTTTTTTTTTCCTTTTTACTTGTATATGTCTATAATCTAGATATTCATGGATATGTTATGCTAGGAAATAAATCTACAAAAGTTACTAGGCTATTAGCGGACATGCTTTTGTTTGCAAAGAGGAGTTCGCGCTATGGAACAAGTTTGTTGGTAATCTCGGAGCCTTTCAAAGACGCCAGGTTTGAGAGGGTTGCAAAGTCTTTGAAAGGCATAGGTTTCAATCTCTTATCAGCTCATTTGGATTATATGGTGACATTCGGAACCACATTGTGGTCAACTAGAAGCATTTTTGATGGGACTGGATATTGTCAATGTGATATGTGCTTAGCGAATATTGGAATGGATGAAATACCTGGTTCGAGAATTGAGCACAGTTGGATTGGGTTCGAGAATTGAGCACAGTTGGATTTGAATGAATATCGGATTCTCTCTTGTTCAACTAGATTTATTAAATATTAGAAATATATTTTCTAATCGATATTGATATTTAGATGTGTATTATAATATTTATAAACGTATAAAATGATATGTATTATGCATATATGTAATAAAATTAATTTTTTTCTAAACATAATGCTTCAAAACTTGTATATGTAATAAAAACATATTTGTATATGCCATTATGTATTGTCTATTTGCAAAAATATCACT